GTGTGTATGTGTGTGTGTGTGTGTGTATTCGTGCGTATTCGTGTATCAGTACTAAACATCACCAAACTGCTTCAGGAACACATTCAGTCTGGAGCAGCAGTATTTCTCAGTCATAAAACAAATTACATCAAATAAGAGCGCAAAGTCTAAGTCTGCACACATCATATTATAGCAGTTTGGAAATAAGTTCCCAGTTACAAAATGCAATTAATAACACCTAAACACACAGCTGTTGCCGCCTCTTGCAATTACTTATTAGCATTAACTCTTTCTGTGCGAAGGGGACATATATGCCCGATCATCAGCTGACCATACCAAAGCTAATAGGCCCACAGTCGAACCTGCTCTAACAGCCGCCTGTATTAGACAATCTCCTGTACAAACGACCACCTCTTATTCCCCCCTAGCGTGTGTGTGTGTGTGTGTGTGTGTGTGTGTGTGTGTGTGTGTGTGTGTGCGCGTGTGTGCGTGGGTTTCTTTTTTACATTATAAACCTGTCTAAGACAACCACTTTTCTCATCGACAAAAGGTGGCCGTCTTCAACAAATTCTATTGTATTTCGGCACAGATCGAACTATCAAACACAAAAGTGTTAGTAAGAGTTTTACGGCACTTGCAACACAATAAGGTCATATAAGTGCCGGAGATTACAGGAGTTACAAGCGAGTAACAAACACAAAAAAGAAGGAGGGGAGATAGAGACGATATTTTTTTTTTCAGGAAAGAAGGCGCAAACCACACCAGAGCACCCGCCAACCACCCACAAAAGAGACACGCGAGCTTGACAAAGTCAGGTACACGCTGGGTCACCTCAAGATGTGAAAGAACTCGTCAATTCTACATATAGCTACACAAAAAAGGGCAATTAAACCCGTTAAAAAATTCTATTCCTTATATCATTATATTATATATTTTACGCCCCCACTGATACAATGTGGATCATCTGGGAGATGGCTGGCTGCTTCGATCCTGCCCCCGGATGAGTAGGACACAACACCCTAGCTGAGATACACGTACCCCATAACAAACATCCACACAAGGGAATCGAACTCACAACCTGTGCGATCAATGGCGAAGAGCCTGGCCGCAACACCACGGACGGCCCTAACTCCAGAAGCGAATCCTTCAGCCAGCGGTGAAACAATCTCCACTTAGTGTAAAATGAGTGCGCATATCCATTGTTCTTCGGCTCAGAGCAGACGTAAAAAAACAAACAATCATAGCTTGTCTCACAAATAAAACGCGATAATTCTAGATAGGCCTAACTGTGGGAAAAAAATAATCTCTGCAAACTGCGAACATCAGTATCTGTAAAAACAAAAGGTGACAGCCGCGGTGATTGACTGCTAAAAACTTGCTCACGTCACGTCGGGAGAGTAGCATCCACGCTTTGTTTGACTGGTTGAGTAAACAGGAGCAAGCACACCGACACGATATCGGTCAATTAGTGCAAAAAAGGCGGGGAACGCGGAAAGGGGGGGGGGGAGGATTAGACAGAAACGAACAAGAGGAAGAAAGATGAGTGTGACATAATTGTATCAGTCGCGCCCTTTGTTAATTTTAATAAGAATTTTATGGCACTTGCAACCAGGTCATGTTAGTGCCCAAGAGTCGATGTGTAACTAGAAAGTAACAAAGAAAAAAAAAAGAGGAGACAAAAGGACGATAGATGCCTGATACGTAGGAAAGAAGGAGCAGCCCACACCAAGACACTGTCAAACACCCAAAATCACGTTTTGAGAAGCACATCGACACGATATCGGTCATATAGTGCAAAAAAGGCGGAAAGAGAGACAGAGAGAGAGAGAGAGAGAGAGACAGAGAGACAGACAGACAGACAGACCGACAGAGAGCAAGATAAACAGACAAAAAAACAAACAAAAAAACAACAACCCAAAATCAAAACAATACAAACAAACAAAACCCAAAAGAAGATACAAATTAAGGTTGAAGCATGAGTATGACGTACCAGTAGCACTCCACCCCCAATCCCTAGAAAACCCGACCCAAACGGACAGAAATAACGGAGAAAACAGAAAAGGGGTGTGTCCTACTACTGGTGCCCTTCAATCGCCCACAGACAACCAGGCTCGGTAGACCAATAAAAACACGGACGCAATTAAATTAATTGATGTGTTTAACATTATTGAGGGCCATTCCATAAAAAAAAAATATATGAAACTGCAGTAACAACATATTACAACGCGGAGTTGACGGCCTGCTTAAGAATATTCTAAGCAGCGATAGAGCCATTCTTTATATTATTATTACAAATGTATTATTATTATTATTATTATTATTATTATTATTATTATTATTACTATCGTCATATTATTATTACTATCGTGATAGTTATTTACAATCATTTAAATTTACTTATTTGTTTATTCATATATTTATTTAGGTTACATGTAACATTCTGGCAATTCCTTGCGTTACGTGTGTTACTGCTGTTTAATTTTTCACAGAATGGCCCCTTCTGAGCAGATAAGTCGGGGGATTAATTGCTTGCTTTTCGCAGACATCATCAACAAAGTCGGAGTTTGCGTAAAGCAAGCACCGGCGAGCAAATGTCCGCAGGTCAGAACCGGCCGGCCTGAGACTGTCCCCGTCGTTTTATGCAAAACGAATTCTGAAATTAGGCAAACTGAGCCCAAAAATGTGAAATTATGCGATTCTGTTAATTTTAACAAAGAATGATAAAGGGAATAATCAGAAATTATACAAAAAAACTGATCAAATTTTGCTTAATTATGCGGGGAGCATAAAACCACGGGGACAGCCGAGGCGCTTTTCCCTTTCGTCAACCCGCAGCCACCTCCCGAATCGTCAGCCACCTCCCAACCTTTGACACTGGTCAAACTTCCATCTATTTATAGGTAGTTAAATCTACCGGAACATGTATTAGGCGAAGTGATGTGCAATGATAGTCGCAATAGAGAGATTGTTTTGGTCT